TATGTTCTGTGACGTGCGGCCCCGTCGACTTGGGGCCCGACCGAACGTGCCGGCACACCGACAAAACGCGATTTCTGGTTGTGCCGGCACACTAAGCTCCGCTAGATCTTCCGGCACACTGTGCCGGCACAAGATACACCCAGCGGGGGGTAGACGCGCGCGGAATTTTTTTCCGGTCTTTAGCCTCCCTTTAGGCCCCACTCGACCCGACTAATATCCCGGCGCGGCTAGCTTAACGCAGATAGTCCCGACCGCGCGGCTGGCGCCTAAAAAAGTTTTGCTTTTCACCTTGGTGCCATTTGGCAGTGTCCTCTCTTTCACGCACTAGTAGGACGGTGAACCAACCTGGCTGTTGGTGTTCGCATGTAGTGCCATTTGGCAGTGTCCTCTCTAACGGTGAACCAAGCTGCCTGTTGTTGGTGTTCGCATGTAGTGCCATTTCGGAGTGTCCTCTCTTTCACGCACTAGTGAAGGTCGAGCGACCCCCGGTCAATTCACGGTGTGCAACTAGGACGGTGAACCAAGCTGTCGGTGTTCGCATGTAGTGCCATTTGGCAGTGTCTTCTCTTTCACGCACTTGTGAAGGTCGAGCGACCCCCGGTCACCGGTCAATTCAGTGAAGAGTAGACCCGAGGGGCAAGGAGTACCGTCCGAGGGCGCAGCCCGAGGACGGTGCGACGCAGCCTCGAGCGGTCTACTCTGAGTGGAGTCACCCTTCCGCCTCCTGCATTCTGCTGGTCATGTTTTCTCTCTGCCGTCGCTCTGTGAGGCGTCGTCGAAGTAGGGGCCCATCGTCGACCCCCCTTATTTTAAATCTTAACTCTAGTTATTCGTGATATATATCCTTCCGGCGTTGTGTTAAACGCATACGTATGCGGGATCGAGTGGCTGTGAGAGCTCAGAAGCGCACTGACAGCCGGTTCCCAACCCACCCCGCATGGCGGGCGACGAGGACTGGGCCCCGGGCCTGGTGCCGTGGGGCATGGAGCAGCCCTCCCCGGGCCCCTCCCCCTCTCGCCCGAGCGTGTCCGTGACCGACCGTGTCTCGAGCGCGCGCGAGAGCCTCGGGGGGCTCTCGCTCTTCGACGACGAGGACCTCGCGGACCTCGCGGGGTCCGACGACGGGCTCCTCGACTTCCCGGAGTTGCCCGTCGAGGAGACGTCCTTCGAGGACGCTCCAGCTGCTTCGAGGACGAAAAGGCTGAGGAAGCCGCGGACGCTCATGAACGTGTCCGACACCAGCGGCCGGAGGTACGCGTCCCAAGCCCCCCCCCCAGCCTCCCCACCCGCCCCGCGCGACATCTCCAAGGGCGTCGCGCCCGCGCGGGGCCGCGGGGCTGGGCCTCCCGGGGCGCGCCCCGCCGGCCGGCCGGCAGAGAGCAGGGACCTCCGAAGTGACGCCTGCGCAACTAAATACAAACTAAATACAAACTAAATACAAACTAAATACAAACTAAATACAAACTAAATAGCTAAATATTTAGCTTGCAGATCCCCAAGCCGGATCTAGGCGCGCGAAGTCTTCGTAAGCGCCACGGACGCGTCCGCGCAGGCCGCCGAAGCCGTCGCCGACGCCGCGGAAGCCAAGGCCCGGGCCGGCG